TTGATTTCAGATAGTCCGTTTTACTTTCATTTCATCCATCAATAATATTCAGACAAGATTAGAATTACAATAGAATCTATATCTATGGACATATATATTTAGTCTCTTTGTTCTAGCACTACGGTTTCATTGTTTCATTCATAGAATATTGCATCACAAATCGTAATAAATGTGTGTCACTAGGTACTATCTATTAACAAATATGATCATAAAATGTAAAAATTTTAATATTTTATATTCTTCTTCGTGAGATATCTGCTATGTAAGCATTCACACATATCATATATTTTTAATTTATTTATATAATGATAAGAATAGAAATAGAAAAATTTTTATTTTTTTAAATATTTATATAAAAGTATTACTTAGAATTCGTATATTTTGAATAAATAATAAAAAAAATATAATATATTTTAATTTTTTAAATATAATATATTTTAATTAATTGTGTATCTAATTTATTAATCAGCTCTTTCAACAGAAATTATTCTTTAATATGACTTAATGTAATTATGATTAGAAAAGAATTATATAAATTGATAAAACAAATAAAGATGATAGAGAAACACTTATTAAATCGTCTAATCTAATCGTTTCTCGTAGAATAATTTAACAAATATAAAATTTCATTTATCTGCATTTTATACAAACTATTAAGTTAAACTGAGATTAAAATCTATCATTTTATTTCGTTATAAAAAATCTTTATAAATCGAAATAACATACATTATTTTATCTTTGCAATTCGAATTATAGAATTCGAAGAATAATCCGATTTTTAGAACTCAAAGTTTTTCTTCTTAAGATTAAATTTTTATTATCATTACCTTTACTACATGTTCCAACCATTTAAATATTTGAAACTCGAATACTCATGAACAGACACCGATACGATTTTTTTTTTTCAGTCTTTTTTACAATTGTAAAAATATTATCTCTTATATAGTCTCTTCTTACTCGATAAATTATTTATTATTATTTTTTTAATTTTTCTTTTAAAATTCAAATTATAGTGACTTCGATTTTAACTATAATTAGAATTCTATAATAGCTCTCTCATATAAATGCTCTATATATATCTTATATAATTTATTATATTATTTTGTCTCCCGATTAAATTGGCGATCGAGCTTCTACTCGGCTTAATTCTCAACATAATGCATGGGAAGCAAAGCTCTATGCATTCGACAGCATACCGTACACGATGTAATAAATTACGTGTTATTTTATTGGTAGACAAAACGCGCGACGTCCTTGACTTCAGTTTTTCAAACGTCAGCTCCTATTATTTGAACTAATAAGAACGGATGAAGAAGATAGATGATAAAACGTCTATTATCGGAACTACTTGTTCGATTATTCGAAGTGTTTTGTTCCCTTAATATATCTTATTCCAATGACATTAGTAAATTGACAAGTGATAAGTGACAAGTAGATTACAAATCTTTGTCGTAAAAAAAAATTTCAACTTTTGTATAATATTTCATTATTTTAATGAAACAGTATTAACTAAATGAGAATTTACTTATTTCGAAATTTCATTCGTTTCATTATTAAATTTTCTAGAAAAAAGATTCATATGATAAATTTGTAATTTTTTTTTATATAAAATTTCACGAATAATATTAGATCTATAATGGAATCCAAAAAATTATAATTGACAGTATATTTTATTATTTTATACTATTATCACTATTATATTATTTTATATTATATCATATTATTATTTTAATATATTATTACACTCTATTACGCATTATATTATTATAATTTCTTTTACAAATTATCTTGTCTTTTCTAAGATAAAACGTGTTCAAAATTTATATCGATAAAACATTAAATCGATACGATGGAACGTGAATCACTAGTAGCTGTTACGAACATCATAAATGATTTTCCCTACCTATAATGCCCTATAATTTCGGCTTTAAATAGCATCCGAGCATCGATATACATACAAAGTATCTCATTAAATGGAAAAACAATACGGAAATTGTGACACGATTGAAAGTGAACAATTTAAATATATATGTTCACGATTTATTAATGTAATGAAAGTATTTATATATATATTATTATTATATATTCGAAATGTACTCTCGTTTATTAAATATTCTTGTAAAATCGTTCTTTTCCTTCCTTTTTTTTGTAAATCGAAAATAATAATAATTTTTTTTTTAATACATCATAAATATAACATTTATTTAAAATATTACGAGAACTTTCGTTCACAGCAAGGTCGATCGAATTCCTGTCATATACGCTATAATACACATTAAGAGGGTGCACTCTTGCGTAAAGAATCAATATCATCTTTCATTAAAAATTTTCTACCCTGAAACTTTCTTCTTCGATATTCCGTATTAAGAAATAATTTTTTTTTTCAATATTTAAACAGAATATTTAATATCCTTTTTTTTAATATTTAAATCATAATAAATATCATGCACAAAAAAGAACTAATATGCTTTTTATGCTTTTTATTTATAACTTGTTTAATAAGTTTTTCATAAAATTATAATATATTAATTTTATTGATTAAACTTGCTGTCCTCCAGTGACTTCCTTCAGATTTTCACTGTTTTTTCTTTTCATAATAAAATTATTATTATTACTATTAATTTCTCATTTTAATTTTTATGCTAAAGCATACTTTACTTAGAATATTATCTTTTTATATGTTATATGTTATAAACACAAGAGACTTGAAAATTCGGAAACTATAGTAAAATTAACAAATTTTTTTATTCATTATTTGTTATGATAAAATAATTTTTTTCCTATCACACAAGTAACTTCAATTAAGATATATCATATTATTTATTTTACTTTGAGATTATCTTATCAAATAAAACTGATTTTAATCCTGGCAGATTAGCAAAAAAAAAATCATTTGACAATCAATTAGCATTATCATAAGAACTATCTGCCGTTTAAATATTTTAATTAAAGTTTGTTAAAGATAAACTTAACAGATTGTAATAATGTTCACAATCCGATATAATTCACAAAAGAATTTTATGATGATTTTTAAATGATTTGAAGCGAAATATGTAATATATGAAATATATTTATAGTTATATTTGCATAAATTTGAATCTATAATTAATACCGTTATTCAACATCAAAATAACGTCTAAATAATAATTTCATTGATATCTAATAATTAATTTAAACTAATAACTAATAAGTAAATAAAAATTAAATCTTGAAGAAAAGTTAAATAAAAATATTTTCAAAAACACTATTTTTTTAGAATAGTCAAATCAAATATATTAGATACTTAATGTAAAATAATTTATCATATTTGAATTGAATCTACTAATTTAAACATGAAGTTTCATTGTTTAAATAAAAAGTTAAAGAAATATTATTTCGTGAATTTGTTTCTACATATATAGTTTATACGTTTAACTTAACAATAGATAAAATATTGAATTCTCAATTTCAAACACAATTATGATAGTGATATGAATTGTTACTAATTTTAGATTATATAGCATAAAAAATATTCTGCAATGAGAAGGAAAAGAAAGATTAATATAGAAAATTTGGATAAATATTTTTTATTTGATTCAAATAATCACACATGACGAATAAATTTAAAATAATATCCATCATGTGATAACATCATCGGTTTACAAATTCTTATATCTATATCTGGTTCACAAATTCGATGATTAATACTGGATTTGACTAGTAACTTAACACTAACAGCCAACTGAAAAGCGTATACATAACAGGAAAGAGAAATACAATTTTAACATATTAATAAATTGATGCAAGCTATACATATATTTCAAGTTATAATATGATTATGGCACACAATTTATAACATACAAAATATATAATAAAAATATAATATGATATAATATACGATATTCAAATTGAATTTATCATTCGATTATTGTTTAATATGTATATATATGTATATGTCGAACATCTAACTATAATAAAAATGATATTACATATTTCCAGAGAAATTTACGACATTCATATCGCAGCATAATACCGTACTCATGTAGCCGTGACATATACGACGTTATATGACATCCTTTGATCATCGATCCGAGTAAATAACACCGATCGATTTTCTCCACGGCATAATAACATCTATCCCGCTGCTGTATGGCTTCGTAATTCCACGAAGTCGCGCCATGACTTCCCGCGCGTCGATTCAAAACGCATTCCCTTCTAACGAGCCCGCCTTTCATTCATGTAATGGTATTTTCTGTGGCGTACACCATCGATTATCATTAACAGCAAAATCTCGTCTCAATGGCTCGCACCATCACAGAAGGTTATAATGGCTCCGTTTTCTTCCCTTATCGGTACACTTCTCCGTGAAGATAGGTAAAGAGGATGAAACAAAAACGGAGAGTAAAGAAGAGAGTGATATAGCGATTCGCCGATTCCCTTCCTCCACGTTTCATTTTCTTCCCCACTGCAAAACTCTATGGCCGTGAATGCATCTGCTCAGGGAGCTGTTACTACCCTTCGAACTGCCACTTCCAGAACTCGACACGCTTTCAGATCTTCTGATCGATTTCTTAGTCGGATCTAACAGCCGGTCCAACATCTGACGGATAGTGCTGTGTTTGCGGTTAAATGGATTGGTGTACATCTTGTTTTCTCTTCGGCCTCTTTCTTTCGAGATGGAATTCTTTTTGGATCTGCGTTCTCGATCGATTATATTCGGAAGAGAACGTTCTTCTAATTGCTTTGTTTGAAACACTGTATCACTTTTTCTTATTTTCAGTATTCGAATTTCAATTATACGTTTCACAGAGATATATGCTGATCGAATACTCGAAACTAACTTTGCATCGATCTAACCTCGCTCGAATGATCGCTAAGCGTCACTTGCCGGCTTTATATATGCACAACATTCGTTATCCTTCGGTCGAGTTCGGGCAAGATCGACTTGAAGCTTTGTAGTTCACAACGCGCAAACGGCCCACAGGTGCATCGGTACGTATATTGTATACATGCTAGAGCAAGTGCAATCGCCTCTTATTTCGTGCGAAAACAGAAGATGAAAGTCAAGGATGAAAAGTTTTTGTCCACATAATATATTTATTATTGCGCATAATATACTTTACACGCCGAAAGAAAGAAAGGTATATATATACATATATATACATATAACATATAACGCTTATTCGAGGTCAATCATATTAATCAATCAAATCATCAATCGACTTTATGTTTGAAAAGTCAATTAATGAACTTTCGAAAGATAAGAATAAAAAAAAATAGAAAAGAAACGAAATTTGACTTTGAAACAGAAACATAATGTAACATATCCCATGATGAAATCTAATAAAGATCCATTTATATTATAAGATGAACTAAGCAGAAATATGTTGCTCGTGGCGCAGTATAATATATACAAATTGTTTCGTTTAAAATATAAATGGATAATTGTTTTTGACGGCGCCAGACTCGTGTTTAATTCATATATGTCTCGCTTTGTATACATATATATGAAATTCGAAAATTTTTAAAATATAACGATGATTATTTATTTTCACAAGCAAATTTACTTATCATGAAGATATACAATTATATTGTTAATAATAAAGTTTAGAATCATTTTATATTCGCATTTATGAAAAATAAATAATAAAATAAAATAAAAAATTGCTTGTGTAAATAATTTATTATTTTTTATTTTTAATAGATTTAAAAACTTTTATTATTGCAATCTATTTTTATAAACCATTCATTCTCTTTTTATCAAATTTTATGTAAAAGATACACGGTATTTCAAATTTACATATTCGATAAAATAATTTTTTTGATAAAAATATGCAATATGAAATGATCCAATTTTTTTTCATCCAAATTTCTTTTTCTTATTTTCACAATTATTTCTAATTTATAATTCACAAAAATAAAATTCAGTATTTTTAAAAACATAGATCATTTCTTCCTAAATTAATAATATTAGTAAAAATTAATAAAGTTCTTAATGTCATGATCAACAATTAACATGCCTAATATTACGACGTAATAAACAAATTTGCATAAATATTAAACAATATTATCTCCGTAAATAACATTAATGATGTATATTTAATCAAGGAAATACTTTCCAATATTAGTTTTCTTATTGCGTTATATTACGTATAATTTTCCTTACTGATGACCTTAACTTTATAACATTTAGCAAAGATTGATAAATAATTATCCCGTTCTTTTTTTAAAATGAATCTAATATTTCCATCGCATTAAACTGTCCTTGTGTATTATAAAAATCAAGCAACCATTAAATCATGCATATAGAAAATAATGTTTCAGAACAAAGTTCCTTGGCAAAAGAATCAATCAATTTCTTCGGAATTCTTATAAGAAAATGAACTATAATTAGTTTAAGAGTGAAAAAAATTCGTAACTTTTTAATTGTCGATAATTATTTATATATATATTATCTATAAATAAGAATATTTATCATATTCAAATTTTTTTTTCTTTTTTTAGTACTTATAATCTCTGTGATGACGTTAAGTAAGTATGAAAATAAAATTTGAAAATAAAACATTTTTCAAATTCCATGATTATCATTCCGAACTTTTATTTCACACTTTGTGAAATTAAATTCGAAAATTGTATTTTATTCGCATATTTTTTTTCGCCGGAATGATATCGAGATATTATTGTATAAAATCATGTGATAATAGGATACATGATATTATAATATTATTACATACTTGACATTTTCTAATTTTAATTTTCGTTTCTTCAGATATATTATAGAAAAATATATTTATAAAAATATATTTTCGAGAATATTAAAATATTGAATTGAATTCAAATGTCATGGTCAATATAAAACGCAAAATTTTTTTTATCTTTTATAGGAAGCTGATGGTAATAGAGAGATATTTCCGCTTTCATCATTCTTTACGAAATTGTCAAATTTAGTTAACATTAATTATCAATTTAAACTTCCTCTTCCGCTATTATTTTTTATTGAAGACTAATAATAATTCAAATAATTCATCAAATAATGATGTGAAGATACACAATTGTAAAATTTCTTTTCTATTTATCATGTATTCGCTAATTTCATATGTCGTTTCTGAAAATTCATAAGCTCGAAAATTTTAGAAACTCTTTTACATGCTCGTTTTACATAGAGAAAAGAAATGTAAAAAAAAATATTTGAGATCTTTCCAATTTTGAATATTATACATGTATGAATTAAAAATTATTAATTCATACATGTAAAATATACATGTAAAAAAATATTAAAAATTACATATTTTTAAGAAACTTTTAATCTCACTTTTATATTAAATAATTGAATAAATAAAATTAAATTCTAGATATCTATATCATTACAAAAATAAAATTTTAAGATGATACGTGACAAACGTAATAATATACGATTAAAGAATTAAAATCAGAAGTTACGTGCTGTAACAAAGTATTTAGAAAATAAGAAAAAATTAATTTTATAGAATATGTTTTTATTAGCATATGTAAATTTTAATAAATTAGTCAACATTATTACACTGCGCACAAATGAAGAATATATTAATTTTCTTCATCACGTTGACATCATGCCAATTATGTATTTATTATATAAAGATCATATTCACAATCAATGTATCAATATTCATGAATTAGTTTATCAATAATTAAATTGCCAAATATCTAACAATGATTCGTAGTTCATTTATTTTATGAGGGAACAAGATAATGCAAAATGCATATGTTGCTTTTCAATGATTATTTAACGATCTAAACTATTTTTTTTTTTTTTTTTTTTTTTTTGCGTAAATACTCGTAATTAGGATTCATAAAAGAAGCTAGTCAATTGATTTAAAAGAAGCGTAATATCTCTTTTACACATGCATAACAGATAAAAAAAGAAGACGTATAAAAAATAAGAATTGATCATGATTTCATGATTATCTAGATCGTACAAAATATGATATTACATCATTATTAACTATTTTAAATTTTGCACTTTGTGTTAATACGTATTAATAATGATTTTATAAAATATGTGATTTCATATTATATATTACTTATTAATAGATTATTTGTATGTTAATTAATTTAATTTTATCATCATGATCGATGGAATGTAATCTTCCATGATATTTTAAGTCTAAATTTTTTTGCATAAATTTTGCAAGTCATCTATAGTCAGCTCAAATAAAATTATCAAATAAAATACTTCATTTACTATTTCAATAATAATTTTGTTCTCGCAATAAAAGAAAAGAAATAAAACAAAATTTCAAAAATATATTCCATTTTTCTTTCATTTTTAAGATTCTATAACTTTTAGAAAAATCATCAATCATCTTTTTTTTGAACAGCATAAAAAAAAATAAATAAATAATTCTTTAAATTATATATAAATTTCACATATTCGTTATATTTTATTTGTTATAATCAGATATCTATAAAAAAAATCACACAATAGAATCTTTCTAAACATTAATATTAAAATTTATAACTTTGCATCTCCTTTTTTTAAATGGCCTTAAAGAATTGACGTAAATGTTTTTTAACTTTGATAGATTTTCTGTTTAATATTCACTATTGTGTTAAAAAAAGAAGATAAACACAAAGTTACAAAGTTAACGAAGAATATGTGCGGCATACTTATTAATTATTTATCAATTTTACAATACAAATTTTTTTTTATCAAAAATGTTCCTTATTCAAAAAAGAGATGTCAGATATATTAGATGTAATTATAATGCCTATGTTTATTTTATTTTATAATATTATATTTGCTTTATTGCACATCAATTATATTGTTATTTGTTATTATATCTTAGCATGATATTCCTAATTATCTTTTTTTTTTTCGTTATTACATCAATGAGATAAATACATATTTTTGTGCGTTGTATTCTTACGTTTGAAATGATATTTTATATAATTGTATAATATATTGGAAACACTATACTATGTGTAAAAAAATTATAGAGATTATTATAAAAATTTAAATATGTATGACATATATGCTCGTGTATGGAAACCATGTAACAATGATCGTGTCCTTAATATGATGGCCTCCTTAATCATAAAGGAATCGAAGAAGTTGTGGCATATACTGCTGAACAAAACTTACTTAACTTTCATCGTATCTAGGCTGCTTACAATTGTAGTGAAAGCTAATCAAATAAAAATTTCGGAAGAAAGTTTTATTCATTATCATCGATAAATTAACAGGATAAATCCTTTAAAGATAAATTTATGGGTAATAAATTTTAATTTAATTAATTTTAAAAATAAAAACAAAAAAGAAATACATAAACATAAAAAATATTATTTTTGTATTCTTTAAATTAATTTTCCAAATCGTATATAAATTTTATTGACTACCTATCTGAAAGCTATTGACTTTTTGAAACAAAGAATTATTATAGTACTTTTAATTATTTATACAATCACTTTAGTTTCAGTAGTAAGAAGAAATTATTTCATGAAATAATATAAATATAAAAATATTATACAAATTATATTTTATTTTTAATATATACCATATAAAATGATATTCCAAGTGAAATATACAAGTAGTGAAAAACGGATAAAGAAATAGAAAGGAAATGAATTGATATTCTATCGTTTCAACTTGATATTTGTAATTCATGAATCATAAAGTATTAGAAGCAGATAATAAATCATTTAAAGAATAAATTCGCAATAAATTTGTTATAAAAAAAGATAATTTAACTGGAATATCCGGTTTGTGTCGGACGTTTTAGAACTTAGACCGAAAACAAAACCAGAAAAATGAGATTCTCTGTTAAAACCAGTTTGCTGATTTTTATTGTTCGCCAAAAAAATGTCTTCATGATCAAATGACGCATTTAATTTTCCGTTAGGGAATCTTTTCATTCTTATTTACATAAAACTGACGCACATAAATGTAATAAAAAATTGTTACTTAATTCCCGATACAATAAAAGGATTAAAACAAAGAATAAATCTTATAAGATATACTTGTTGTTAATAAATAATTTATAATATAATCAAATTTATCAATATCTTATTTATTAAAATAAATTCTTATAATAACACAGCAATAAAATTGTCAATTATCCATTTGTTCGATAATTATATGAAAAAAATTTTCTTTCTAATAATC